TATATTAACTACTATTATAGGAAGAGTTTTTGATCATATATTTAAAATAGAAATTCAGAAGGGTATTTCAACTTCATTTTAACTGTAACTCCATAAAATACGTAAATACATAAAATTGTGAGTCATGTGATTAGGTGAGTTTGTAAAAATATAAAATTTAAAGTTAAAAATGTTAAAACAGAAAAGTTAAAAGAAAAGAAAATTAATTTATGTAAAAAAAAATTGGAAAAAAGTCATGCCTTGACAAAAGCGTGCGTCGTGGCATCTCAAAACGCCATGACATGAGCCACGCCTTACACAAAGGTTACAGATCTTTTTTTTGAAGTATATAATATTTATATACATCAATTGCAACAAATAAACTCACACACCCTCCTCACCGTTTGTGAGGTTTGAACCCTTGATCTGCTAGGAGGTCAAAGACTACGATATCGCTAGGCCGAATGCCCTTATCGTAGTTGTCAATTGATAAACTTGTTGTACCCTTTTTAATTCGGTGATACTTTAAAAAAAAAACTAATGCTACTGTTTAAAAAAGTAATAATTCTTGTTTAAAATAAAATAATAAATTAGATGTTAATGTAAATTAACTAAAAATATCATATTGAAAATTAACTAAAAAAACAAGAGGTACAAACTAGTTATTATACTTACACAAATACGAAATAAATCAAATGAACAATCTTATTTGTCATGCTGTAATCTCGTTCTGAAGTAAATCAAATATGGTTCAAAAAATAATGATAGACACATATCATAACGTTACCACTTAAAATATAGTATTTGTTTTCTTGAAAAAGTCCGACACTGAATCACTGTAAGCTAAAAGATTTTTAGGATCAATTATAAACCATGGTTTTTGGAGATTTTTAGGTATATAACCTTAAATGAGATTTTAATTAAATCCATGACCTTCTTATGAGTATAAACCCATTTTTTCTTATACAGATAGAAGGTCATGAATTTAATTAAAAACTTCTTTAAAGTCATTTACCTAAATGAATCAAGTTTTTGACATACCACATGAACTAAATCCGTAATTCACGCTTCTTTTAATTAAAATATTATAATATCAAAATTTCTTTACTAATCTTGTTTATTTAATTAACATAATATATTTTTTTGACCAAATTAACATATTATATCATTTGGGACTTGCTCTAATTTTTCAAGATGTAATTAACTAATTTTTTAAGATGTCATTTGTTAGTCATTTTATATTTTTTATCTAGCTTATCAGGTAACAGCTAGCTTATCAACCATCAACTAACTTATTAGTCATCAACTAACTTATCAGTCATCAGTTAGTTTATCAAATAGTTTGCCAAACATAGCCTTGATGACATGGATAACCATTTACGATTTTTTTTCCGAAAGAGTTACATAGAAGTGAACGATAGACTTGACATTCACGTAACTAGTGCTTAATCATTTGAGAAGTCCAACTTCATATATTGCTATAATCGTGCGAACTTTTATCTTAAGATATTGTTTACAAGATTTTTTCTCATATAAGGCTTACATTTAATGTATCAATGAACATATATTTGTTTCACATTGTCTTTTGTTTCATATATAAGCGGTTCCCAATTTGAAACTTTTTTACATGTAATTTTTATTTTATAAATAGGTTAAAAATGTTCATATTGTGAAACAAATGCATCTGAAACAAACATAATGTTAAACAAATATATGGTAATTAATATTCTAGATCTAGGTTGTAACACCCGTGATTTTGTGATTGTCATTTGTGATCAATCACCCTTTTCGCTAGACAAAAAGGGATGTTGGTTAAATAAGACTTTAGGTTATTGGATTTAAACCAGGCTTGAAGGATGCGAAAAGCAACGAAAACACGTGAATTTAGGGTTGGCGCGACCTAGCTCGCCGCCTAGGTCGTGTGCTTACTATTTGTGGGGTTGCCATGTGACATAAGTTGTGGGCTAGGTTGTATGCATCTGGTCATTGTTAAATCTCGACTTTTAGGGTTTTGATCCATTCCCCCCCCCCCCCTCTCCATTTATCTCCTTATTGGCACGACTTTTGGGAGCTTTGGTCTTAGATCTAAAGCATCTTGGTGAAGTTTTACCTTAAAGTGTTCTAAGAGTTGGTATCTAAAGGATTCCATGGAATGGTTCGGTTGGGAGATATCAAGATCTTGATGTGGTAAGTTTCTTGAATATTTCGATCTCTAGCATGGAGATCTTCGTGGATCTAAAGCTTATTCTGGTTTATGGTTCATTCATAGACTTGAGAAAGTTGTCGGTTTGGAAACTCTAAATCTTTCTTGGGGTTGACTTGAAGATGGTGGGATCTTCATCTGTGGAAGTTAAAAATGTGTTTGGAACCTAGGTTTAACCTAACCTAGCAAGCTAAGTTCAAGTTTTAAAATTTTTGTACGTGTCAAAAATGTGTATTTTAAAGTATTAAAGCTTTTTACTTGATATTTATTAAATATGTTGTTTAGTTGACAGGTTTGCACATTTGGTACATTTGATTTTTACAAATACTGTGAAATGCTCATATTTGGGGTTTTGGAGTCCTGGGTAAATAAATCTCAAGAGTATATTATTTTGATGATTTATCTCATAAATGGAGATTTTTGATGTTAATATATTCTTAATATTCTTGGTTTTATAAACTATTTGGAAAATATACATTATTGTGTTATAAGAATTTTAGAGATAAATGATATAATTTTACTTGGAAAATGAAATGATAGATTTTTGAGTTAATCATATTTTTGGAGCAGTGTTTGCATAACCGAAGGTTAAATGTGTTTTTTTTTTTTTTTTTGTTTACGATGATTTTTATTGAATAATCAATTGTGTTGTTGATCTTTTGGCTTGGTTTTGACTGAAATTAGCCTTAGGGGACAATTGTCTGGTTTATTTGCTTTATGTCAAGCCTTTGGTATTATATGCAATTATGACATAATTATTTGAAATATTACATGTTTTTCCGAATAAGCCAATTCATTTGGGACCTTGTAGATCCACTCTTTTTCCTATTCAAAGCTCAACCCTTTGTCTCTATGTTTTAACATCGAGAATTATTTGTAGATGAAGAGATGTCAAAGGAGCTTTTTTAAACGTTGACTTAGCAAGAAGACGCAAGGAAAACACTTCGAATAAATAAATTTTGGATTGTGCCGGGAATCCAATCTTGGATTCGGTATGGATAAAATATCTTCGTATGTTATACTATTCAATTCTAGACGACGGATTAATTTAAAGAAAGCCGCACAGGTAAATATAAAACCTACAGAAAATTGGACTAATCCAACCAATCTTGCTTGTACAATGGAAAGTGGCACCGATTTATCTCTCCAACGAATCAAATTGGACAAATGTGTGCGTTCATGAGCCCATGCCAAAGTTTCAATCATTATTGCATGGTTACTCATTTGGTGCCATGTATTTTAGATTGTAATGCAATGGATCCATATGCATAGGAGTCGGTTTAAATGGAACGGATATTCTCATAATGTAATGTGAAGTAGACATTGGGTCTTCATAGGCAATAAGGTGTGAGCTATTTAAGTCAGATATCGGCCGTTGACCAATAAAATGTAATTTCTTGTAAACGAGCCTAACTAGGATTATAGAGATCCCTAGGTAAAGACCTGGAATGGTTGAACTTGGTTGGTTATTCCACAAGCAATAAACTTGGAGTAGTTGAGTTTATTTTCTGATTAAACTATAATAAGACATGTATTGGTTGATTTTATTGCATGTGAAATCCTTAAGTGAGACTCGTATAACATAAATATGTGACATACTTTTGTGTTATGTCACATTAAATGGAATTGGGTCTCCCCCGTCATTGAACTGAGAGTTTTGGATATGATGGTTTATCCATGTTTTTATGTTGTGTTGTGTATGGAAAATATCAATGATTTGACATTTCAGGTGTTTGTTAATTATTCATATTTGTTTGTTTTAGGGTACTTGAGTTTTATTCATATTTTCGATATTTGATCATCAAACTTTAATCTTGGTTGTCTGAATATTGGGTTTTGGTTTCGTATACAAAGGTGTTTCAAATAATGGATTTTCATAAAAAAAATGTTAGGTTCCGTAAATACATTTCTTTTGGGAAATTATGACTTAAATAAGCAGTCTTTAGTTTTACTGTTTTGATATTATGATGAAAATTGTTTGAACTCACTAAACTTTAAGCCTAACCTTCTTCTTTTTCGCCATGTACATCAGGTACATATAGAATGGTACTAGCGACACTGTGATGTATTGGATGTTAGTCAGATGCACAAGAATGATCTAGCTTTCCGATGACGTCTTCCGCAATTGGAGATAATAACAATTATTGGGTTTTAGTAACATCCGAATTTGACCTGGTGTTTATGTAAGGTTTAATTTATCTATTATTCATGTTGAATATATATTTGCTTTTTGAGATAATTGAGGTATTGAGTCGTAGAATATGATTTATCATTCATTTGATGTATTATCATAAATTTTAATTTAGTCGTTTTTTTTTTTCAAATTTGAGAGTGTTACATAAATTTTAAATTAAAAATAAAAATAAATAACAAATAATAGAACTAGTTTTGAAGGTTATTATAATTTCACATGTTTTCAAAAAAATGACCCTAACATAATAAAACACTTTGTTAAATAGAAAAATTTGAAGCTTTATCAAATTTTATTTTATTAAATTATATAATAAATTTAAAACTTTATGTTATTAATTGGGATTTTTTTTGTTACTAATAGAAATTAAATCAAATTTTATTTTATTTTTATGCATTTTGGTCCAATTTTTAATAAAATAAATTGAATTAATTTGTGATAAAAATCTACAAATTAAACCCACAAACAAGTTACCGTTTGAAGTTTCACATTTCTGGAAAAACTCCGTATCAAGTTCCCATTTCCCAAAAACTTTTCAGCGCAATATCAAGACTCTGACCCATCAAACACTAAAGCTTTTAATTCCCACTTCACTCTCTTGTCTTTAATTCATTCAAGATGTTGAAAATGGCGGTTTTCTTTCTTCCTCTCTTCTTCCTATGTGTTTCTGGTAAGCTTTAAATTAGACACCATTCTCTGTTCATCTTCTTCTTCTTTCTTAAATTTGTGTTTTTTACCAGTTGCAGGTCAAGAGCTGTTGCAAATCTTAAGTCTCCATCAACATGATTCAACTACAGAGCCACTGCAAATGTCTCTGGGAGTAACCGTGCACCAGGAGAAGCTCAATGAGGTCTCGACAAGCGTTTTAATGGCGGAAAAATGGCTTAGAGCTCATGTTTTGTCGATTTACCCTTCCACAAACGTAAACTCCATTGTGGTATCGAATAAGCTCCTCTGTGACGAAAATGGGTTTGGAAATCATGAAGAAATTTCAGGATTTACAGTTGCTGCAATGGAGAACATTCATCATTCTCTTGTTAGATGGGGTTTAGAGAAGAAAATTAAAGTTTCTGTTTTTATTACCTCAAAATGCTTACAGAATTCGTACCTTAAACCTGTTTTTGCGTTTTTGGAAGAGATGAACTCGACTTGCACCATGAAATTACCTGATTTCTCCGACGAAACTTTCGGAATTTTGAGTTCTCAGTTGACATCCTTGGCGGATTTGGGTGTTTTCCGGTCAAAAACGTTGAATATTTTGTCTTCTGTGTCGAAACCCACATCGAGAAAGCTATCATTTATTGATCCGGTGTCGGTGGTTGGTTATTCTGTTCCCTCCGATGCCGCCACCACACCTCTCCCACCGCTCATCGGCATTACTTCACCGCCGCCGCTTACTCCACCTTTGGCGCCGGAGATGCAACCTCCGATGACGAGTCCGATGTACAGCTCACCACCGCATTATGGTGTGAACCTGCCGCCATGCAACCCTCATCCACGCGGCAGACACGGTGGTGGTGCAATGGCTGCACCTCCACCCCTGGTGGGAAGTGGTGGTTCAACTGCGGCTCCTCCCTTTTCAAATGAAGGAGTTTGGTGCGTGGCTAAACCCAGTGTGCCGTCGGAAAAGTTGCAGGAAGCCATGGATTATGCTTGTGGTGAAGGCGGCGCCGATTGTGAAGCGATTAGTCCCACCGGAAGTTGTTATTTTCCGGACTCCATTGTTGCTCATGCTTCTTATGCTTTCAATAGTTACTGGCAGAAGAACAAGAATAATGGTGGAACATGTGGATTTGGAGGGACGGCCATGCTCATCAATTCGGACCCAAGTAAGCAACTTTCAAGAGTCCAAAACCCTACTTTTCAAATCCAAAATTTGAATTAATCCTTTCGACTTTTTAACTCAAACTACTTTTCAATCTCTAATTCTTGCTAAGATCTTTACTGGGTTGTTGATATTTTTCACTATAATCAAAATAATCTCGATAATTTCTAAAATTAAAAGTTTATAAGTTTGACTTGAATTAGTCAAAGATGGTGTTGATTTTGGGTTGTTTTTGCAGGTTTTCTTCAGTGCCATTTCACGCTTGAGTAAGTTCGGGAGGTTTTGTCGATGTGGGCGGCGGCGATGGTGGTGGTTCAAGAAGAAATTAGTGGTCAAAATCTGTTTTTTTGTTTAATTGAGGCATGAAGTGTAGTTGATTAGAAAATAGTGAACATTATATTATGATTTGGAAATTGTGGTGGTTTTGATGGTGGTTTTGATGGTGGTTTTAGTGTTTACAGAACATACCGAAAACCACCACCTGAAAACCGCCAATTGTTTAGCGACTATTGGATATAACTATGTTAACTTCTGCTACCTATTTCAAAATCCATATTGGTTGTTAGAAAATGAAATCCACGTTGAATGTGATCTTATTCGGCCTATTTTGCTGAATAATTACAAAGTAGGGTTATTTTAGTAATTTTAAATATTTGAGAAAATAAAGAAATCTTTAAATTTTGAAAGAAAAATAAAATGTACCTGTTGAAGATGCTTCGAGTTTATACTAGAACCAATATGATAAAAGCTATTGAAATAATCTTTTTTGAACATCATGATTTTACTTGAAACCTTATTTTAAATTCTATTCTTCATATAATGACTCGTATAATAATTACAATTATATATAATCGTATGTACGTATTATATACGTAGCGTATTATATATGTTGGAGATGAACAGAAGAACACATGAAGAAGAGATGACGAGCAAACGATGTCTTTGTGAACAGAAAATGTGGAAGTGTAGAAGACGGTAGTAAATTTACACAGAAATATTTTTAAAACAAAAGCGACCTCTAGCTCGTAATCTCTTTATTGACTTCTCTATACACTTTAAAAGGACAACTGAAAACCCAACTGCTTATTGTGGTTTTCATATCGTTATTGCAAATAAAAATAGCAGCCTGATTGAAGTAATTAGCATGATAGCACCGTTATTAGCAGAATCACTATTTTCCCAAGACCGTCAGCCATTATAGGACCATTATTTCACCGTTATTAAAAACTTATGTACGCTTTTTCAGTGGTTTAAAAAAGAAATATAACATTTTTTTTAATGAAATATATATTTTTATAAAATTACCATGTATCATTTAACTTGCACAAGTTTCTATAATTTAATTTAATTTTGATTAAAATGTATATCAATCAAATAACTTAACATGCGTTTTCGGGCCCATAGTTGAGCCCGTTTTATCAAGTATAGTGGGCTTCTCATTTCTTCAAATCTATTATTTATTACTAGAAGCATACTCGCGCAATGCAGCGAGATACATCGTGATTTTTATATTTCATTTTATTCTTTATCTCAGTCGATGTCATAAGATGACTTTATGTGATTTTGAGAAAGCGATGATGTTTTTAT